CGAGCCAGTCAGGGGGTACAGTATAGTACCAATGAAACATACAACTTTCCTCTAGTTCTTTAATGCTTCCTTCCCCCAACTATTTGTAAGGTAGAATCGTCCCAATTCTACCATACAAATCTAGCTAGATCAGAGGATGTACACTGGTACAGATAAGAGTTGGAAACACAGGGAATCCAGAACAGATAAACCCCAATAATGAGAGTAGTGATACCAGGAAGGGAAGGGGAAGGTTGGGGAAAATGAAGGAACTGATCACAATGATCTACATATAACCCCTTCCGTGGGGGATGGACAACAGAAAAGTGGGCGAAGGGAGACATCGGACAGTGCAAGACATGACAAAATATTAATAATTTATAAATTATCAAGGGTTCATGGGGGGGGGGGGAATGAGGAGCTGATACCAACGGCTCAAGTAGAAAGGAAATGTTTTGAGAATGATGATGGCAACAAATGTACAAGTGTGCTTGACACAATGGATGGATGGATGGATTGTGACAAGAGTTGTACAAGCCCCCAATACATTTTTTTTAAGCGGTTGAAGAGAGCATAGTGGGCCGCGTAGGCACTTCTGGCATATGCTGGTACACAGGGTGGGGCCAAGTCGGGAATACGGAGCTCCCGAAGGTGTTTAAGAAAAAGGTCCACAAGAACTGCTCCATGCTTTGAATAGTTAATGCCCGAAGAAAATCGACAAGAAGTCAATGGGCATGATTAGGGTAAGAGACCATGAAAGATGAATGGTGAAAAAAGAATGGAAGGATATCCTTACATCTAGAATTAGACATTCAACATTTTATATCCATAATTCATTCTGTGATTTGGATGCTGTACAACACCTGTGTCCATGGAGCACAGGGCACCCTGGCCCAGGGATGCGGTGTGGTGCACTGCCACGGCTTCAGATGAGTACTCAGGCTAGCTTCTTGGCTTAAGCAGGTGCACGACGGCCAGCTCAATTGACCACCTGACAGGGAAAGGAACAGTGCAGTCCAAGAGTACCTAAGGCATACAGGGTGCCTATCTTTCTACTGGCTCTCTGCTGGACCTAACTGGGCAAAGTTCAGGGACTAGAGCAGCGGTTCTCAACCTGTGGGTCAAGACCCCTACGGGGGGGTTGAACGACCCTTTCACAGGGGTCGCCTGATTCATAACAGTAGCAAAATTACAATTATGAAGTAGCAACGAAAATAATTTTATGGTTGGAGGGTCACCACCAACTGAGGAACTACATTATAGGGTTGCGGCATTAAGAGGGTTGAGAACCACTGGACTAGAGGGATGGCGAGGGAGCTAAGAGGAACCAGTGTTGGGAGTTTGGGTCTGTGCCTCTAATGCCTCCGACTAGGCAGCTTCCCGGCCCCACACAACAGCTGGGCAGAAGTGGGACTCCAATCTCAAGCCAGTGTCTCAGATACCCGGGTGCCCCCATCCACAGATACATATACATATGCAGTTAGATGTTGTACAAACGATGTTAAGCAACACATTCCTGAATTTTACTTAATATGAAGTGTCAATTATTAGTTCTTAAAAAATAAAAATATAACAAGATCTATTTGCACTTAATAAAAGAAAGTTTAAGATAATGAGCGGATATCTACACTGGAGAAAAACGTGCGTAAGAATGAGACTGTGATAATTGCTGCTACCACTTGTTTTTGTCCACAGACTATTGCAAAACACGAAGGCAGCCTTGTGGTTTCCAAAGCCACTGCCCCTAATTACATATGAAAAAGTAACTCTACCCTTCCTGGCTTTTCATTCTTGTGTTTACTCTTAAACCAGCAGCCGGAGAGCAAAATAAGTGCAGCAGGGTCCAACAGCGATGTGGCCCCTATGCCTAAGCTTGGCTATCACCGTTTTCACTGACTTCTCCAACAAGAGTTACAAGTGACAGCGCTACCAAGACTCTTAAGAGACTACTTACAAGTTTCCTTCCCTCCCCAATACGAAACTTAAAATTTAAAGTATTTTATTTAAAAGTTCAATTGTCCAACATTTAAGAATAAAAAAGTTATGTGTCTGTCCTTGGTCAATACAGAAAATATTAATATAAAAACAGAGGTTAAATCAATACTTTAGAGTAGTTATGATAATAAAAATACCATGGTAAAGTACAACTAATAATGGTATTGGCTGTTGTTCATTGTACACCCAGAATACACTAGACATGGAGCTAAGGGCTCTCCTTACATAACTTCTAATCTTTATAACCACTTTTATCAATAGCCATACTTTGTCTGGAAGGGCAAGGAACAAAAAAGATAGAGTGCAAACAGCACATTTTAGTGAAGGTTCTGAATGTAAGTCAGATCTTAACCAGGGTGCGCTGTGAGGCCAGAAATGTATTTTAAATCCTCTGTGTGCACTTTCCTAGGCAGGTAGCCAGCCTTTCCCTTCTTAGAGTTCTCAAAGTGATTAAGAATCACTGCTGTAAACGATGCACACATAACCCCTCCTTCTTTCAGTTAAATACAACAAAATAATTTCCACGCAGAGCAACCAATGGAAGGAATGACGACCACTATTCCACTCAGAAAGCAAGCCCTGGGGGCACACTAGTTAAAGGACTCAGCTGCCAACATCATGCTGGTCACTGGAACCCACCAGACGCCACCGGAAGCAACATTTACTGCCTTGGCCATGGGGACAATTCTACTCTGTCCTAGAGGTCACAGTGACAGCAGTGGACTTGGTCTGGTTGATTCCATTCAGAGAAAAATGGAATGCATAACAAAAACAACAGGAATACAACTAATCTTCACTTTTTAATTTACAAATAGCACTCACTCATTGCCATCAAGTCAATGGGAACTCCTAGCGGCCCTGTAGGGGAGGGCAGAAGTGCCCCCGTGCGTTTCCAAGGCTGTATGTAACTCTTTACTGGAGCAGAAAGCCCAGTCATCCTCTCCAGGCGCAGCCGAACAGCCGGTGGTTTCGAACTGCTGAGTTTGCAGCTAGCAGCTCAACGTGTAACCTCTGTGCCACCAGGGCTCCTTACAAATGAAATGTGAATGTGGGAGGGGCAAGCACTTCATTTCCTGCCTCCCTGTGCTACTTTACTTCACCAGGCCACAGCCCAGTGTCAAAGAGCCTCATACATTTAAAAGTACATGGGGTTGAGAGGTTTCTTTTCCAACCGTCTCACTTTGTCAAATGAAGACATTTCAGGGCCAAAGGGATTAAGTACTAGACACAAGGCCACATGAGTGTTGGCAACACTATTATAATCCTGATCTCACTCCCACAGTCTGAAGCACACTAGTAAAAAGTAGCTACTCTTGTGGCTTAATGAAAAGGTCCCCTGTTGGACAATAATTTCTCAACAAAGCCAGTGATATCTCACTTTGACTAGCTGTGGAACTCCTAAGGATCCTTTTAAGCTTAGGACCATTGTAAAGGTTTTGTGCTAACTCACCTTAAAAAGACGGGTTTCTATTTCAGCAAAAAGACATTCTCATCTAGAATAAAAGTTGGGGGGGCGGGCGGGGGGGGGGGGTGGCTCGCTCAGAGCTTTCATCCTTAGCTCCTCACCTCAACCAATAATGTGTATCTGGTTGAAAGACACCAATGTCATCTGTGGTGCTATCTACCCCTCAGAGAGGTGGTGAAAGGTGTTCAGATGCTGCACTGAGCAGATGTTATATGACCACGACACAAAACAAAGCCACTGCCACTGCGTTGACTCTGATTCCCAGGGACCCTCTCTAGGGTTCCTGAGACTGCGAATCTTTTCTTCATGGGAGAAGCCTCCTCATCTTTCTCCAAAAGAACAACTGGTGGGTTTGAACTCCATGCCTTGCAGTTGGCAGCCCAGTGTCTAACCCACAGGGCAACTAGGCATTGAGAGCAGATTAGGTCCAAGTAAGCTTGTTTGGAAGGATCAAACTAGGAAGACCAATAAAGCTAACGAACAGAATTTACTCTAAAGGGGGAACCTTATTAGGTTCACAATGCACTTCCAGGTAACTTTCCTGAAAATTTTAACATAGCTTAACTGATCATTCATGACTACATTTAGAAGTTATGCCAGTCAACATGTATTGGGATGAACCATATGAAATGACATCTGATCGATCATTCTTCACTTCAAAATCGGCAACCTCGCATACCTTAACTTAAATGACAGCCACACCTCAAGACAAAAAGGTCACAAGGGTTATGCAATTCCTCATCAATGTCCAATAAATTGATTTTTAATCCTCAAATATGTACAATGATCGTGATCCTAAAAAACGATCTTACTCACCCTTTAAGTATTGGCCCCACGAATCAGACAATATTATTAGTCCACGGTGTTTCATTAATCTACTCCTGGGTATGTACAAGTCTATCCCTTTAATGTGTATAGTATGTCGAATGAGAACTACGAAAATCTATTGTCATACTTTAAAAACACAAAATTCTAGAGTATGCCAGACAAGCTGAATCTGGAAGTATTTTCTAAAGACTTTTTGAAGTGACTTTCAAGGGTTTGAAATATACACGGATCCGGGGTGGTAGATCTAAAATATAACGACAAGCCGCTGAAAGGGGCACGAAGATCAGGATTGCTGAGACGCTAATACTCATTATCAGGTGGCCAAAGATGACTCCAACTCTGGATGGAATCACAACTCGGGCGACACCCACACAGAGCCATGTTTTACTTTATACTTTCCAGTAATCCCCCCACCCCCAGGGTCTAAACAAAAGAATGTAAAAGGTCGTGGGTCCTTATTTCCATGATGTGGCAGAACGAGGAGCAGCGATCCCAGTGCGTCTCCGAAGGGGGCCCACAACCTACACACTGCCCTCTTCGGGGGAGTTTTTCAGGCACTGCCACGGCCAGCGGAGCGGGTCCCAAAAGAAACGGAGGGAGAGCCGGGGTGCCAAATAGGCCAGGGGCGTGACATGGGGCGTCACGGAACTTCCTGTGCTGGACGTCACGTCTGAACCCCAACGTGACAAAGTTACAACTCCCAACTCGCGGGGTGTCAGGCACGCTGGACCCCGGCCCGGGGCCCGCCCCGCCCCGCAGCAAACCGGCCGGCGGCCATCGGACTGCCGTGTTCTCGGGGAGACCTCCGGGCGGGGAGGCGATCGGAGAACGGGGCCTGGCGGACCCCCG